ACAGTAAGTATTGGTCTGTGTGAGTGGGTTTCCTGTATACCCCAATGTGGAGGCCTCTGTCCTCTGTAATGTGCACGTCACAATCCAAGAATGGCAAACTGTTCTCCTTAACATCTTCTCTTGTGAACTTGATGTTTCTGTCCACTGAATTGATGTGTTCAGTGAAAGCTTGCACCTCTTGAGTTTTGATTTTAACCCATGTGTCGTCCACATATCTGAACCAGTGGCTTGGTGTTGTTCCGTTAAAGGAGTTGAAGGCTCTGTATTCAACATCCTCCATGTACAGGTTAGCCACAATGGGAGATACCTGTGAGCCCATGGCACAGCCATGTTTCTGTCTGTAAAAATTACCATTGTATTTGAAATCCAGTAGTTGGCATATCTGGTCTGGACTGAGCTTGGTTCTGTCGTGGAGAGTGTTGTCATGTATCATTTTCCTATCATTTTATCATTCCACAGCCTCCATGGTTGGAATGCAAGTGAACAGGGAGGTTGCATCATAGGATACCATGGTATCATCTGGATCCATATTTAAACCTCTTACTTTGTTCACAAAGTCTATGGAGTTCTGGATATGGTGGGGTGTATTGCCCACCAAGGTTGCCAGGATGTTGGCTAAATTTTTGGCAATGTTATATGTGACCGAGTTAATGCTGCTGACAATGGGTCTGAGGGGGGCCCCTTCTTTGTGAATCCTGGGGAGCCCATATATGCACAGGATGGCATCTTGGGGGTACAGACGGTGATATTGTAGGCGATCAATGGTGCCCTCTTCCTGTAGTTTTTGCAGGATTTCTATTGTCTTTTTCTTGTAGCCACTGGTTGGGTCTCATTTCAGCAGTTCGTAGGTTTTAGTACCACTGAGTAATGTAGAGACCTTATTGTGGTAGTCAGATGTATTAAGAACTACCATACATCTCCCTTTATCTGCTGACAAGCATGAACTGATGAAGCCTCTTGGATAAGAGGTGAAACGTCTTCTAAGACAAAACAAAGTCCAGTTGCGTTCAATTCAGTTGCCTTGAGATAACTATGACCTGGATAAATGAGAATATCCACAGGCTTTTTGAGTGACGGTTTACAGGTGAAGGCCAGGGGCCCCCCTGACACTTTGAGCCCTCAGCCTGTGTCCTGTCAGCTTGTTAAGCAATCCATCCATGCTTTGACCCCTTTGTTGTGCTGAGGGTGGAGGCCAGTGGTATTGTAATGACCTGATAGCTTCACTGTTTCATTATTTCAAATAAAATATATTAGAAATCATATATTTCTCTTGTAGCAAAAACACCAGTCTTATTTTCAGTTTGATTAAATCCCAAGATCCAGAATGTTGTGTGACAGTGAATGAAGTTGTGTAGGCAGAGAAAGTTTGGGCGAAGGTGTAATTAAAGCTGATTATGGAGAGGCAGAGGGGAGGATAGGGCAGCACATTTGTCTTCCCCTCCTAATGAGTGGTGGCTGGGAGAGCTGAATTAGCTGCCTCGCTGTCGTCTTTCCCCTTCCATGCCACTTTGTCACAAGGACACTCCTCTTGGAAGATGAGACGGGGTCAAGTGCATGTGTATCCCCTGGCATTATTCTTACAGGCCGGTGGGGTCTCTGTTCCACCGGGCTCTGGGAATTGAGGCACTTTAGCGAGCTCTGAGCCACACCACTCAGCCTCTGCATCATTAAACCAGGCTAAAAATACACAGCCCACCCATGGTCTGCTGTTCGCAGAGGCTCCCAGTTCATTGGCACACTGAAACAATCGCTGAGAGGTGTGGCACCATCATTTTTCACTCCCTCTTTAAATTTGATCAGTGTTATGAGGCTATGGCAACAAAGTATGCTCAACAAGCTATTATTAAGTGCCCTTCTCTTTCAGCCTCTACTTCATATGATCAGTATTGATACCACTGCTACCACACCATTTCACACTGTTGTGTTCACATTGTTGTTAATGCTCCTCCCATGGGCATTAATGGACTCAGAAATCAATATGTGTTGGTGTAATGCTGGAGTGACATCTGCGACAAGGCATCCACTCAGTACTGATGATAAAGCCCATACTGTATAAACTGTGAAACTACCTATATATGGCTGCAGCTGATCATATTTATCATCAGTTAATCTCGCAATTATTTTTCAATTAAAGCTGGGGTGGCACTTTTATTTTGGGCAAAACCATAATAACCTTTAAGCACTCTGTTATTCATGTGGTCTAAGAGAAAACTAGACTTCTGCACCTCCTCTTGACTCTGTTTTCAGGCTTTAGAAAATCTAATCGGTGATGGGAGACTTTGGCCAATCACAGGTAATTTCAGAGAGATGGTGTTCCTATTGGCTGTTCTACAAAGGCAGATGATTCATCCATTCGGTGAGTGAAATCCTGATATTAAATGGTGGGGAACCCTGCAGAGGACATTGCCATTCCAGTATTGGAAACAACTGCCTACACCGCAAAGCAATGCAAAAAAGGAAGACGGTCTTATTAAAAGTAGAATCTAACAGAGAGTCTGACAATAAATGAAACATGTCAGTATTGGCGAAACGTTTCAGAAATGGTGATAAAATTTGTAGTTTCTTAATCTGCCATTACCCCTTCCACATTTAGTCCGTGAAATGTTAGGAAATTGTGAAAAATGCTCAAGGTGGCATCTTCAAATTGCTTTTTTATTGTCTGACCCCCAGGCCAAACCTGACTGATCAAGTGTCAAAACAGTTTCCTTTTATTCACTAATTGGTTTATCAAATAACAGTTCATATATGCAAGTGTGTATAAAGCAAATGTACATTTCATCCACTATATTTGCACAGCAATAGACAGACGACTGACACTAGCACTCATGGTTTTGTGAATCAACATTGCTTTTCAAGAATGACAGTGAACAAACTAAAGCAAAATGACCTCCTCTTTAAAGTGAACTGAACAGCACAGTCGGCATGGTGGCAATTGATTCTATGGATTTTGAGTAACTGCACTCTTACATAATCATGTTTCCCTCTCAAGGGCAACACCATATCGATACAATAAATCATGCAGCAGTCATGCATCAGCTACAGAACCCTTACTTTACACTTATTTGTCAGCTCAAATGTGAAGCATTTACAAATCCATCATTGTGTCCTGCAAGAATTCGGTTATTTCTTTTGATATATTCTTGCAGTGCATTGAGCACGTGACACCCCACAAGTGCAGGTAAATGTCTGATCGGCAGGGTTTGAATGAATACATCTGACTTAAGGTCACATACATGTGCACTGAAAATACGCCATGCTTTTTTTTGTGTGTTATTATTCATTGCTACTGTACTCTAAGGTCAGACTTCTCTGTCAGTGTTTGTTGAATGGGGAGATGTGTTAGTTGGCCCTGGGCGTCCCCTGAAGCAAATCATGAACCAAATGATAATGAGACACCTGAGCTAGCATAAAGCCTACAGGCGTCCATGTATATCTTAATAAGTGACTTGGATAATAACAGACCGTGGTAAAGAACTGAAACACTGTAGACTACATGTCAAAGAGTGATGGTGTCTTTTCCATAAAAAATAATTCCTCAGCATTAGCTTGTTTAACAGCGTTGTACAGGGTTCCCACACATTTTCAAAGACAAAATTTCAAAACCTTTCCATGACTTTTCATATCATTTTTTTCTTGTCCTACTTGCCCTGTCTATCAGATTCAAACTCTGTTCAAACATAAACTAATATCAGTTAGCTGGCGTGCGTAAATATGGAGGGTACGCAGTGGGAAACTGGAGAAACGTCCATGATCTTACCTGATACTCTTTCATAACCCTTGGTTCTACTTTCGATTTGGGGATCGCCTGATTCCTCTCAAAGCCCCATTCACTATGTAATGAAATTGTAATTTGATACTGTCATAAGATGCTTTGTGATATTATGTGTTATATGTTTTTCTGTATTCACTGTGTTCCACCCCCTTTTTTTGTGCTCTGGTACTGTATGACAAGACAAGTATAGCTCCCATTTGTATGCCTCACAATTTGCCATTAACTACTTTTAGAAAAAAAAAGCAACTACAACTCCCAGGAGGTGGAGCTTCTGCCACCAGTGTAGTGCACAGGTGTTTCACATACTGCCACTGATTAGACTGAGAGTGGTTACTCTTACCTGCCTGTCCATTGTTGCCTCGTGTATGCTCAGATGAAGGTTGAATACACTGAAAGCTCAACAATAAAGCGAAACACTGCTGAGATGTAAATAAATCTTTTTTCTACCAGTTTCTACCTTGACAGCTACAGAAAATAAATCTGCCGTTATGTTACAGTAAATGAAAGGTTATCCATGGAAGATTACTGTAATAATTATATTACACACAACAAAATTTCCATGACTTTTCCAGGCTTGGAAAATACATGACTTTTCCAGGGTTTCCATGACTGTAGGAGCCCTTTTGAAGGTGTTATTAGCATACTTTTAAATATCATGTTTCTTACAGTAGGTACAGAAAATAAATCTGCCGTTATGTTACATTAAATGAAAGGTTATCCATGGAAGATTACTGTAATAATTTTATTACACACAACAAACTGTGGGAGCCCTGTTTGAAGGTGTTATTATCATACTTTTGAATATCCTGTTTGTTTCAGTAATTAAGCTAATAAATGCATATTTCTACCAGCAGCTGTTGTGCTCTGATACAGCTGAGGTTCATTAAGTAATGACAAACCACTGTGACAGTGTTTTTATCCACAGCAATTGCACGCACAAACTTATCACTACTTATATTCACAATGATTTTTTGCCATTAAATGTAGGGCAAACAGAAAAATGCGTTTTATGTTTATTCCAGAGTAACACAGAGTGTGTGTTCCGACATATTCCTGATAGCAGGGAGTCTTTATTCTAAGTCGGAGCCTACCAGAATTTCCAAAGACAGCACTATTTGCGCCGAGGAGGAAGCGTGCAGCCTGTAAAGCGGCACTGCGGCATCGCCGTATCACTGCGCCCCGGTCCCCCTTCTCCGGGATCCTGAAGCTCGGATCTGGGGAGAGAGGAGGAGGAGATACCCTATGGTTTTCCTTTGCGGGATTTATTTTGTCAGCTCCAAACCTTCCTGTGCGTTATCTTTTAATAGTGACCGAAGGCCTGCAACTTGTCCGGACGGTCCCTCCTCACTCGCAAGGGTTTGCATTTCTTCGTTTTGCATGACGTGTCTTGGAGCAAAGAAAAAAAAAGAGAAGAAGAGAGGAGAGAGAGAGAGAGAGAGAGAGAGAGAGAGAGAGAGAGAGGGGCTTGCTTTTGTTGTGTGTCTTACAGTGGAAAATGAAGCTTGGAGAGCCGGAGCAGAGCAGGAGGCAGTGCCAGTCCGCTGCTGCTGTTGTGGGCTGGACTGGATTACAGAGCCTGAGATCTGTACTGACAGCACAGGCAGACAAAAAGGGACTGTGAGCGGAGACAAGGGAAAGAGTCTTTTACTGAGCTAGGGAAGCCAGGGCGAGTGCGAGGATCCAGTTTTTCTCCAATAAGCGATATTTTGGGAGCTATTTGTGCAGTGTGTGTCATTAGATGAGTGCTGGCACGGGGCATCAGGTTAAAGGCATAGGTACTGGGGGAAAAGCTTTAGGACCGTTATTACAGTTAAGGTGGATTTACCTTTCTTTGGAGGCATCTGTCTGCATGGCAGGAATATTTTGAATGGTTGCTGCATAGTTAAATGTTGGCATGCTGGCTTGTTGGATGTGCCTTTGTTATGTGTCCATTTAATTATAAGCAATTTTATTTCTCTAAATGGCTCTAATTGTGCATGTTTGAAACATTTGTGACTTTGCAGGGTGTAGCAGAGCATCTGGGGACTACATGCATGCTGCAGAATCCAGATGAGCCACATTACATGACAACCTGTGTCCAAGGAGACAATGTAAAGTTGAAGATGGTGGTTGACTGAGCTAGATTGCTTTTGGGTTTGTGTGCTGATGCAGAAAAGGTGCGATTCCTCTGTGTTTGAAATGCCCACCAGCATTTTTTTTAAAGGCATGGTTATCCAGAGAGAGGCTTTGTTAAAGCCTGCAGTTTGTTGATTCAGTTTTTCTTCCACATGGAATACCATTTCTATGATGTAATGGATGAGAATTGATATTCTGGACACATAGAGAAGCCATATGTGTTTTAGACTACAATGCCAGAGTGACTTCCAGTGGCTTTAGGCCTAGACTGTAGGCTATGCCTTGAGAACAATCCAGAATACGACTGCAAGCTGTTGAATGTTGCATCCTAATATCATTAAGCAGTCAGATGCCTTCACTGTCAGACAGTGAAGGTATGCCATGTTAAGATTTATCGTGAGGAGCAGGATGGCATTATGAAAGGGTCTTGGCATTTGTCTTGAACTCATTTAGAGTGTGTGTAAAAGCTCAAGGACATCTCCCTCTTCCATTAGACCTGCTTTCATTCACGAAAGGGAGAGAAATATTGCTGTTTTTGATTTGTGGAATATTTGAGCAAGGTGTCACGTCCAAGGTGATATTTTAGAAGAAACGAGATGGTTGTCATAATGAATCTGTTCATTTGGAGAAGCTATTGAGGAATGTCTACAAGTCAGGATTGTTTTATTTGAATAGAGCTCTCAGATCATTTATACCATATGTAGGCAGCTTAGAAGTCTTTAAGATATTAGTCTTTAAATTGAATATTAAAGGTATTACACCACGCATAAAAATAAAACTACATTTCTAATGTCTTTATGTAAATATTGATGTGAATGCCACTGTAATGTACCATGCCTTCCTACAAGTTTGTTCTAATTTAATGCAACAAAACACCAGTGAAAGAGGGAGGATAGATTTACTGACAAATAATTGTTCTTAATACAGTATGATGATGGGTGATATATTTAAGGCTTTATTTCAGGCACAAGAGCAACCACTTTTAATTATACTAGTCGGACCTGTGTACTGATACATTGCCACGCTTGATATTTGCATTTGTGCAGTTATTCAGAGTCTCTGTACGCTACTTAAAACTAGCTGTGCCCGTGCCAAAAGCAACAACAAGTTCATGTTGACAGGCTTTAGACACCAAGTGGCAAAGTAAAAATTCTGGTACGTAATTAATTAAAGAAATTTAATCATTAAAAAGACAGTTTAGGTTACAAGCCTGGCAAAAGCTTCAGAGACACTAGTGAAAGAGCACTTACAACGCATAATCGTCTCATCTCGGGGCTTAATGACCTGGCAGCGAAAGAAAACACAGTATACTTAGCAGATGAGACTGTAGCCACCCTAATAAAACATTCATCTTGCATTATGTATGTAGAATGGCAAAGGCCATGTGTATAGAACACCACACCTTTTCTGAAAATGGCTCATTGACTAAATGCACAGTTGAACTTGCTGAGTGAACAAATGTGTGCTCTCTCTTTCTCTCTCCCTGTCTTTATCTTCCAGGAGGGAGAGTTTGCTGACCTTGGGTAAGAGGAGTAGGTTCCTGGAGAAGAAAGATGTGGCGTCACCTGCTCAACTCACCGTGGCGGGACATGTTCACTGAGCAGATATTTGCTTTAACTTGAAAAGCTCTTCCTCTGGTGGAATTGACAGCTCGGTGATAACGTGTTTAATAGATCATTTTACACCTCTGTTGAAGGATTTGATGGACTGCCTTTGGGGATCTTTGCTTGGAACCTAGGGTGGTTCAGTGACTCGATGCAGTTTTGTGTTTCCTGTAAAAGGCTTCATCTGTTGGATATTACATGGTTACCTTGGATCTAATACGTTAATAAAAGTCGCTTGGATATTGCGGATATTCTCCTTGGAGGGTGGTTTCACGTGAGTGGAGGTCAAGCAGAGCCAGTGTTTGGCCCTTGAAGAGTTTGTTTTCCTGTAAGAGGCGGGTTTATCTGGATGTTTCCCATGAAGGACATGGATGGCCCTCGATCTAGTGGCCTCCGCAAGAAGAGGAAGTCAAGGTCAGTGAGGGATCGGGACAGGAGATCAAATGGGATAAGGAACAACCATGTCAAGGGCTCCGTCTTTCGCTTCTCCTCCGACTCAGAGCGGGAGGGCGACAGGGAGCCCTCCTCATCCCGCCCTCGACCCCCGCGGAGAAAGCGGAAGGAGTCTACTTCTGCTGAAGAGGACATCATAGATGGCTTCTCCATCACGGGGTTTGTGACCCTGGAGGCTCTGGAGGTGAGTAAACCACAGGGTTAGCCCCTTCAACCTTACATATATATATGTGTGTGTGTTTGTGTATGTGTGTGTTGAGCTTTTGCATGACAATCCAGTTGAAAGTCTCTTAACGCTGTGTAAAGATGTGTTTATTATTGTGCGCCTCTCCGACTGGGCCGGCCCAGCGTTTTGGCTGCTGCCTGCGTATTTGGCTGTTGTGTGAGCTGGAGTTGAACAGATGTAGCTTTAAATGTAGCACTGCAGCCAGAGATTACTATCTGTGTCACTGAGAGGCTGTTGTTGTTGTGTGCACCGCTCTGGATTTGTTTTCAACAAGAGTTTTCCAGCAAAGCCGTGCACCAGATGAGGGATGTTCAGCTGTGGTTGTAGTGGCTGTTGTGCTTTTGTACGCTTCAGAGTAAAAAAGCAATTTGATCTATGTTACAACAGTTTATTCAGAGTGGGAGTAATTTATTGGGCACTGGCTATCCATTTTCCTTGGACTGCAAACTGGGCACAGGCTGCCTTCCAACGATGGAGTTCTGAATTATGACTTACACGAGCAAGCATGTTATATATACAGCACCACTGCCATATTTTTCTATAATGGTAACTTACAGATGGTTGACACATTAAAGGGAAAGTTTCTCCGTAAGGTGTTGGACCGCTACGAGCCTTCAGAACAGCTTCAGTGCTCCTTGACATAAATTCTACAAGTTTCTGGAACCATTATTTCCTAATATGGTGTTTGGATTGTGGTGGTAGAAAGTGCTGTCTAACACATCGGTCCAAACTCTCCCACAGGTGTTCATTAGGTGACTGTGGAGGCCATAGCGTATGATTCACATCATTTTCCTACTCTTTCCTACACTATTCAGAAACTGCTTGGACCCCTGCATCAGTGTTTTTCCACTCATTTTTCAGGTGTTTCTTTTATATTGTTTCCTGTCTTTATGTGTCAGTGTGTCGGGTATTAGAGATGGGAATTGATAAGATTTTAGTGATAGCAATGCCGTATCGACTCTGCTTATCAGTCTGATTCTTTATCGATTCCCTTATTGATTCTTGGCCTACACACAGGTTTTCAGTGTGAACACAACTATTTTATTATCTGTGAGTCTGAACATGGTGTAGATGAAATGAGAGGATATTTGCACAAGTGTCCACCAGAGCTTTTTTCCTCCAGCTGAAACACTAGGTGCGCTTCAGGAAACGGCCAGCTGGGAGCGCTTGAGAGCACTTTGGAGGTAGAGTTTTTTTTAGCAGAGATGCTCTGGTTGCTGTGATATGGAATATCTGGGGTAGTAAAAATATTGGAGCAAGGTAGAGTACTTTGCTGGATGAAATAGAGCTGATGCACGTAGGGAGTTAGGATGGACTTGCCGCTTTACGTGAGTCCATGAAAGGAAACGTACATTGATTTTTATTAGGTACACTTTGCTAGCACCAGGTTGGACCCCTTTTGCTTTCAGAGCTGCCTTCATTCTTTGTGATGTAGATTCAACAAGGTGCTGGAACATTCCTCAGAGATTTCGGTCCATATTGACATGATAGCATCACACAGTTGCTGCAGATTTGTCGGCTGCACATCCATGATGAGAATCTCCCGTTCCACCACATCCCAAAGGTGCTCTATTGGACTGAGATCTGGTGACTGTGGAGGCCATTGGAGTACAGTGAACTCATTGTCATGTTCAAGAAACCAGTTTGAGATGATTTGATCCCAGTAGATCAGCATTTTCTGAAATACAACATGCAACTATGCCATGTTCAAAGTCACTTAAATCTTTCTAAAACCTTTCTTCCCATTCTGATGCTCGGTTTGAACTTCATTAGGTTGTCTTGACCATGTCTACGTGTCTAAATGCATTGAGTTGCTGCCACGTGTTTGACTGATTAGTTATTTGCGTTTAGGAGCAGTTGAACAGGTGTACCTAATAAAGTGGCTGGTGAGTGTACAGTATACTACCATATTTCTCCTCCATTGCTGTTGTTGTTCAGAACTTGTACATGTAAGATGTGACGGTTGCAGTGGCACTTGTGTGTAGAGTGTCAAATACATCGCATTCCTAGAATTTACGCCCATGATGTGTAGAAAGATGCTTCAGCATATTGTTGGTGTTTTTGCCTTTATTTTAAATGATACCATAACCGCCATGACTCCTTGTCGCAGCTTTCCAGCAGCATGAGTTTGACATGATTGTTTTGCAATGCAAAGAAAAAACATGCCAACATCAATTAAAGGTAGAATCAATAAGATGGGAGGTGTACGATTCCGATGGATCACATTTGAACAGGTCATCAGCTTGAACTGGTTCTTGATTCCCATCACTACTAGGTACTGCTGATTTCACAGGAAACATTACGAAGCTACAGCTATTAATTAAGCATCAGATATTTCAGCATACATTTTGTAGCTCTTTAGTATCTGATCTTGTTTCAGCAGGATGTGAAAGTCGTTTGTATCTTCACAAGGTCAGACTCGGGGGGTGTCCACGGATAACTCAGCCTGACTTGCACATTCTAATGTATGCAGTGTGATTCTAATCTCTTGTTCGCTGGTGTGACCCATCTCAAGGATACGTACAGTAGCACATGTCCTCACTGTATCCCTTTGTTAGTCAGATCAAGACTTTTTCGGGTGCCGTGTTATTTCGAATGATTCTCTTCAACAGTGCTGTGCCTGCTCGTCCTTCCTCTTTCTCCTCGTTTTGTTTGACGTTCTTTCTGTTGTTCTTTCCATTATTCTTTTCTGTGTTAGTCTGCGAAAGCGCTGCTATTCAGAGTATGGGTGTCTGGTTAGATGACAACTCAGAAATCAAGGGTGGGAAGTAAAATAAATTAGCTTGAGATGCATTGAATTTTTATTAAGTTTATTTTCATTGTTAAACTCTTGTTGGTTGCTCCGCCACTTACCCATTTCAGTGTCTTAATCGTAGTCTCTGCAGTTTGAGGTGTCACCAGTTTTTTGGCTTCTCTCTTTTATATGGATCTCATTTTACCTAGAAAAGTAACCCCTGTTTTTGTCAGTACACATTTGACTGGCACTAAGATATTTTAGTCAGTATTTCAGGGTCTTTAATTGCAACATATAGTATAAAATCTACGAATTTCTGAACATTTAATGAAGTTAAAAAAAGGTGGAAATGCTGCTGCTGCTGCCTTACATATCCTGATTGTAAGCTATTTACAGTTGTATGTATATTGCAGAAATGATTTTTGACATTTTATTACCCTACACAACAGCCTTTTACTGCAGTCGACCGCATGATAAACACACTAATAAATCAAAACATATTGCAGTATCAAATTACATTAATATCAAATCACAGTGATTTAGAAGGCACTCCTTACAAAACAATCTTGTCACAGAGTGCTTTACTGAGTAATAAAAATGCACAGAGTTCATGTACGAGCAAGAGAAAAATGAATTATACTTGTGTTTGTGTGTGAGTGCAAATGGGTACACACAGGAGGGTTTCTATGATATTGTGACAGAAGTTATTAATACAGTATCATCTCACGGGGGAAGTGAAGGGAGATGGCAATATTGTATTGTATTACTTCTTACAGTTGTCGGTGAGCTTTAAATAAAGCAGTTTGCTGTCCCGTGTCCCAAATGTAATAGCGGCATTAATAACAGAAGCTGGTGATTCATATTCCTGTACACACAATCACTGACAGTAGGATCTGGACTAAGACCATGTCCACAGAGCTCCGTCCTCCATGTTGATAACCTGCTGTAGTTTAACACCGTGCACCTGCTGCCTTGAGGTTGCTTCAGAGTTTTTAGCCTTATTCATGTCGTTCCAAGGTTGAAACTGTACTGCATGCTTCAATAGGCTGCTGATTATATCCTCAATTAACTGATTGTTTGGTCTGTAAAATACTAATAATGATAATGATAAAGTTTGTTCATAGGGCAGTGAAAGCACTGAGTGCTTCACATGAAAATAGACAGAATGAACATAAAATAGAACTGATTCATAAAATCATAGAGTTGTAAAACTATAAACCATAAAATCAAGTCAAATTTTTAAAGAGTTGTAGCAGCATGAGCATTAAAAGAAAGACTGTCAGACCTGTATCAGGAAGTCAGAGCTAGTTAAAGGCTAAAGTGAACGATACACTTTTAGCTTTCTTTTAAAAATATTTAGCGAGCTAGCTTCCCTGATATCTATAGGTCGTGTGTTCCATTGCTTTGGGGTGTCATTGACAAAGGCTGCAATCCTGATCTTCTTCCAGCTGTTGCTGGGAACCTCCAATAAACCAGCAGCAGATGATCTCAGTGTTTGTTGGAAATATACTAGAAAGTCCTCAAAGTCCAAGACGACATCTTTGCATATCTTGTTTTGTGCAGTGAACAGCCAAGAACCCAGAGATATTTAGTTTTAGGGCTGTACCAGACTCAAGATGATGTCAGTCCAATCAGATTTGGCCGTTTTAGACAAATATTCGACGATTTGATTTTTCCATATAAAGTTTTAAAGTTTGAACGGGGCTCAGCGGGATGTTGAGTTTGAAAGAGACATTCACATAATATAGTAAACAAGCTAGCGGCGCAAAGGACAGATCGAAAATGTGCAACAAAATTTTTTCCCGACATGACATATCAAGCAAAAGCCAGAGACTGTGTCATGTTAAGTTGCTGTGAGCTGTAAATTCAACACTTCCGAGCAGAAGAAAGAAGATAATGTTATCTCGGAGCCTTACAATGTGAAGTTTCTCCTCCTCTGTGCCGCTTCATCATGTCCACAGCTGTTTGTGCCAAAGAGTAGCATCAAAGTCATGAGCACTTACTCTGCAGCAAAATCTAGGGACCAAAATGTCCCCAAAAGTACACTGTGCAGCACACTGACAAACAAAAAACAAAAAACCCCAAAAATGATTGCTCAGCTTGAAGCAATTTCAGTCGACTGAGGGGTCTCTGACTGATGATTGGAATCTTTGACTTTCAAGGGGCAGCCCTGTGATATTACTTGTAGACTTTCCGTACTACTTTGCACCAATATTATCATCTT